GGAGAGGGGAGTGGAGAGCAGAGGGGGGGGGGGCAGGAAACTAGGAAAGAATGCCAGGAATGCCCATGTTTATCCAGCGTTCCATTGAGGTGGAGGCAGTCCACCACAGCTCAGCGTGTATAAAGGTAGCTCAGCTGCTGCTAGAGAATCAGAACACTCCAAGCCCTCCAGAGAGAAGCAACAGTCACTCGACTCGGCTCAGCCTAAACTTCTTACCAAAGCTAAACTCTAGCTTTCACTCAACACGATCAGGAGGAACTGGATTCAAAGACTACACAACGAGATCGACTTGATCAAATCTGAAGAGAAGACTTTGTAGGATCTCAAAAGAAGATTTTTCTTTTTGCTACAAACCTTAAAGAAGTCATCATGTTTTCTGGAATGACTCAAAGTGTGATTGCTCTGCTGTTCCTGACTTTCTTAAGATGGGTAAGTAGTTTTAATTATCCTAAGAATTACACAGCTATCTTATTTGAGTGCATGTGGAGATATAGAATGGTATTAACTAGCATGATCAAGCTAGGCTTAAAATGGAGCTCTTTAGCAAATGTACAAACTCTCACAAGAACATTTTGTCTTATTCCTCAGGCTGTGGCTCAAGAGTGCAGTGGACAATGCCACTGCCCTGAAGTGCCGCCCCAGTGTTCACCTGGTGTAAGCCTAGTTCTGGACACCTGTGGGTGCTGCCGGGTGTGTGCCAAGCAGCTGGGCGAGCTGTGCACAGAACGAGATGTTTGCGACCCCCACAAAGGTCTTTACTGTGACTACGGCTCCCCAAGTAACCGTCGTATTGGTGTCTGCACAGGTAAGGATCTTGGCTGTTGAATTACATGTGTCAAATCTTTACTTGATGATCAGAGTCAGAATTGTAAACAATCTTCCATGTCCGTCCCACAGCCAGAGATGGTGCCACTTGTGTGTTTGGTGGAATGGTGTACCGCAGTGGAGAGTCTTTCCAGAGCAGTTGTAAATACCAGTGCACGTGTCTGGACGGTGCTGTAGGTTGCGTGCCCCTCTGTGGAATGGACATCAGGCTCCCCAGCCCAGACTGCCCAATGCCCCGCAGGGTGAAAGTGCCTGGGAAGTGCTGCGAGGAGTGGGTGTGTGACTCCCCTCGTCAAAACACCTTTGTGGGATCAGCTTTAGCAGGTGAGCATTTCTCAATCTTAAAAGCCAAACTGTGATGGAAAAATTACTCCTAAAGAATGTATTTAGACAAAGTAATGGTCTTGGTATTAGGGGGTTTAGAATGAATATCAGTATAACATCAGATGTAACAATAAGAATAGCAGGATGACATCATGCTGTTGGATGGAATGTGTTGAGTAACATCTTATTGCTTCTTGTAGCTTACAGAGAGGAGGAGACATACGGTCCCGATCCCTCCATGATGAGAGAGAACTGCCTGGTTCAGACTACAGAATGGAGCGCATGCTCAAAAACCTGTGGCTTGGGAATCTCTACTCGTGTGACCAATGACAACCGTGAGTGCCGCCTTGAGAAGCAGTCTCGCCTTTGCATGGTCCGCCCTTGCGAGTCACACCTGGAGGAGAAAATAAGGGTAAGGGGCTATCTACCGATAAAATGAAATCATGCCACAGCTTCAATCTTGCTTTCACCGTGATGTAACTGAGCTTTATGGTTAACCTTCATTTTTTATCTTTCCAGAAAGGGAAAAAGTGCATCCGCACACCACGAGTCTCCAAACCCATGAAGTTTGAGATTTCCGGCTGTACCACTACCAAGTCTTACAGACCCAAGTTCTGTGGCGTTTGCACAGATGGTCGCTGTTGCACTCCTCACAGAACCGCCACCTTGCCCATGGAGTTCAAGTGCCCCGATGGCCAAGTCATGAAGAAGCAGATGATGTTCATCAAGACCTGCGCATGCCACTACAACTGCCCTGGGGAGAACGACATCTTTGAATCCATGTACTACAAGAAGATGGTTGGCGACATGGCGTGAAAAGTCATGACCTGACAAGGAGTTCCATGCAGTGACTGTCCACTTGAATTGAACAGATATCCATCTCATATCTCAGCACAAATTACTTGTTTGTCTTTTTATGGTTTGTTGCTTTCATTTTACGTCTTTTTGCGTGTATGTGTTTGCATCTTGTTGGTGGACTCTGGATTTCTATGCTGTATGTGTATTCATTTGTCATGGTGGATGTCTAAGCCTAGGGGGTGGGGATCGTAAAATGACCGGGCCCTGTTCGGACGCCCCTAAAAAACAATACTGCACTATAGTCCGATGCTGTGACGCCCAATGTCACTGATTGGCAGATGACGCCAAGCCCCTCCTCTAAACTGTGGTGAGCAGATTCAGATTCTGAGAGCAAAAATAGTAAGAAATGGATGGCAGCTTTAACCCCAGAAGCTAATCGCCTCACCAAGCTAAGAAGGCGGAAAAAAGAGACAGAGAGAAATTGATGTGCTCTTATGTTTAGTTGATATTGTCAGCTCAGAGTTTGATTGAGCTGATCCAAGACATGAAGTTTGGCCAAGAACTATGAAGGTTAATATAGCACTGAGTGTTTGACTGTCTGGCCCCTCCTGTTGGGAAAGAGCCAGTATCCCTGTCAAAAAGACTGGATGAATTGTAGCTTCATTCTTTTTTATGACAATATCTATTTTTGAAAGCTGTAAATAATGTACATATTTTGTACAGCTTAAGTTAATTTAAATTGAAAGCATTTTGTCTTCTTATTTCCTTGCTTCGTCATGTTTAATGATAGCTTCATGTGCTGACTTGACTATTCTTGGTACAGCTTGTCCAATATTTTATTGAGAAGTGTGACCAAAATGTTACATGTTTTCACTTTTGTAGTTTAAAATAAAATATTATATTTTTATACAAACATTGCCATACTTGGAGTCGTTTTTACCCTCATACTGAAAACTAAGCAACTTCATACAGTACATCTGATATCAACCACACAATAATGGCCCCATGTTTTTACAAAAGCCTCATGTTCACACTTCAATGGCATTTTTACATCCCCAGTGTGGACCACACAGCTGAATTGTGTGCGGTCCATCAAGCTCAAGACCACACACATGGTCCTCCTGACACATGCACATTCAGAACATATACAACGATAATGTAAGAGCTGAAATAAGTGCATACTTGACAGTCTCATTTGGTGAAAATATTGATACATTAATGATATACATATCATTAAAATGTTTTTGAATGTGATGCCTATGCTCACCTGTGCTGACTCAAAACAGAATAACTTTGTGAAAAATGTTGCAATTCAACAATTCAATTCGAATACAACTCATATTTTCTAAAATGCAACATGTAATGTTACCTAAAGTTAAATAATAGCATTTACTCGAAATAGAAATCTTTATTTGAAATCTAAATCGCAATCTGTACTCAATTTAATGCGTTCTTGCTCGTTTTTTATCGTTTTTGTTTTTCTTTAACACCATTAGCAGAGTATTTAATGAGTCCAACTCGTCTCAGACTAGCAAAAGTACACAGCAAAGTTGTGTAGTTATGTAGTGTGTAGTTTACACAGCAAACGCATGATAGCACATAAGAGAACTAGTAACCTTTATAGGACAAACAATACACACAACAACAGTGTGTGAGACAAGAGGAAAACATACAAGTCAAGTTCAGCGAAGAGCAGTAACTGATAGAACGAGGTAATGGTAAAGTTTTTTTTTTAAGTAAATACAAGATTTAAACTTACTTAAGTGTTTTAGGTATCATTTTCCAACATATCCATTGGTCTTTCTAAAAAAACACATTTGCTAATGGGCGTTAACAGACTGTGCAAGTACTCAAATGATGTAAAACGAGCGCCATCTAGTGCATCAAGTGTTTTAGTGAAATCTCCTACAGTACCCTGAAGCGAAGTTATATTTATTTATTTATTTATTTATTTATTTATTTATTCATTCATTCATTCTCAGGATATGAATTCTTGAGGTCAACATTTCAATTCCTAATTCTTGATATTATCATTTTTGATATCCGGATTGGATTGTTGATATCAAAATGCTGATTGTTGATATTAAGATTTACATTTCAACTAACAATGTTAATTATTGATATCAACAATGATATTTAATTAAGCTGCTGAATTTAATTGAATCAAAAATTAATATCTCGCATTATTACTAGTGGAAAAACAAATTCCTAATATCAAAAATGTAGATATCAACATTTCAATTCCTGATTTTAACTATGTCAAATTAAAATTCAAAACACACACAGTCCATATCATGCATTTCTATCTGATCAAAACAATATAAGAACAAAATTAATTGTTATTGTCAACTTAATAAAGAAGCATTAAGCATGTGTGCAGATGTTTTGATTTTCAAGAGATGTATCCGAAATTGCAGACTTTCTTGAAAAAGAGGTACTTACTTTTTGTGCCCCCTAACATATGGGTTAAATACCATGAATATGTGTTATATCATCACTTCACTACAATCTTTTTTTTATTACTATTCCCATTCTCAGGTCCCAAAAGCAAAATGCTAAACAGTTTAAAGTGCAACATATGTTAAAAAATTATAAAAAATAATAAATAATAATAATTAAATAAATAAATAAATAAAGTTACTGTGTACATACATTTCTGATTAAAAAAATACAAGCATTTTACAATGAATGTATCCCACCTGAAAGGATGTAAGGATACAAGTCAAGTCAAGTAAGTACTTACCGTTAGTAGGCTACTGTAGATTAATAATATTGGGACAAGTTTAATTTTCAAATGTTATGACTCAATGGGTAGTTTGATATGTTCATGACTTAGAACTCTTTGTGATGAAGACTGAAATATTATTGAGAAACAAGACTGTAATGCAAGGTATTGCTGTCTGCCGAAACAAATCAAATAGTAATTAAAACTGCCCAGTTAAATTAAATAATGATAATAGTGTGTTGTGTGCTGCCTAAAGAGCATTGATTTTCTAAATTATTGCTATGACCTAAACCAGATCATTAGTCCAAAAAAAGACACAAAAAGACTAGTTTAGTTGAGGATTGAAGTTTAACTGGAATAGCACACAGATGACTGCAAGAAACCCACATAGCAAAATAAAAGGCAATGGTCAAAACAGGAACAAACAGTATAATGAAGAAAATCCAAAAAGTGTCATCTTGGTCACAGAGTGAAAAAGAAAACCAGGAACAGGTGGCCCACACACTTTATTGGCTAATCTAGATTTTGCTTATAATAATTGGGTTGATTGAATGGAACAGTTGTATGGTGTCCCTCCTCTTCAAATCCTCTTGGCACTATTAAAAACAATATAAAAGTCAGCATTGAAACATTGTAATGTTAAAATGTGGAAATAAGGAATTATGATAAAGTATGTACATTTGAAAGATTGAGGCAGTGTAAAATTATTAATAACATACCATCTCCATGAGGGTCAGCCTCTGTTTCATAAACATAGCAAGCAATATGGATGGTGAATTCTTCATTAAAATCTGCCTGCATGGGGTTGAAATCTTCATTTCATGATGACTTCAGATCGTCATAGAGAACCCAGTGATCAAAACCCAGGTGTATGCCTGCAGTCATGTGGGATCTCATTGACATTAGTAAAAATTTTAGTTTATAATTCCAGTAAAAAAAATTGTACAAAAATCAGTGGAAATAAATAAAATACAAAAAATTAAAAATAAAAATTTAGTTTTAATGAGGGCTAAAGTCTAACTGGCTAGCCTGCTCATTAGCAGCTAAACAATCATTGTTGTGTCTAATTAAAAAGATCCCTATTATGTAAAGTGATGTTGAAAGAGTTACTTGTACAATCACTGATATAGTAGATGTACTTCATTCCACAATGTCACTTGTATGAAATAATTGGTTGTCTTCACCTGTAATAATCATCCTCTAAGTTTAGTGGTGATGCTCTATCCAATCCAGGATGTATTTTAACCAGGATGAGTAATGGATTCTGATCATTAAAACCCAGGCAGTGCACATTGCCGAGGCATGCAAAATTTCTGAGGAAGAGAAAAAAAATTCAACATGATTCAAGATATGTTTGGCTCAAGTAATATTCGGTAAGGTAAACAAAAACTTATTGGTACTTAGTTTATTTAATCTCATCTCTAAATTCCCTCTTATGTACAGTATTATAGTTTACATGTACCCTATTCATTCATCTTTTTGTTTTTACAGTCTAAAATTTTTTTGTCATGATTATTTACCCCAAAAAAATCTAAAAATCTAAATTCGAAATGTAGAATGTTTGTGTACTTTTTCCATAATCTAATAAGTATTAGCCGGCAACTTCAGAAGGTAAACCGATGGAAACAACTAATGGTTTAAATAGATTTATTCAATAGGAACGGCTCTTTTCATTTGCTTTGTCAATGTAAAACTGTCTAAAAAGCTTAGCTTATCCTAGTTAAGCTATTGTTTAGCAGGCTCTTAGCAACAGCACAACTCATACAGCAACAATGGAGATGTAGGATCTATTGTAAGAATTTAATTTACCTTTCTGAAAGGTAATGTTTATATTTACCTAAGTAGTTTAGTACACATCCACAAAATTTAAGAGCAGTGCTTTTATCGCTTTGGGTAGGATGATTGCTGAGTCACAGGTAAGGATCCGGAAGATGATTTTTGACAGACAAATGAGTTCTTCCTGAAGTACAATGTAATCACGTGACAAGTATGACGTTTATTTTAATGCATACAAGAATATAAAAGATGACCATATAGCCTACACAAGTTTAATATTTATAATCTATTTAGTATATCTTTATACTGTGCAAGTTCATTTGTTCTCTCGTTTAGGAACCCGTTAGGTTGGCCCTTATGGCAGTATAGGTCTGGGTATGCATGCAATGTGTTTAGCTTCTAGGGATATTTTGGGAATGTTTGTAATGTACTGTAAATGCTTTCGTTCACCAGCATTGATGTTTGCTGAAGGCTTCATATAATTAAGATTTTTCTTTTGGGTTTTTAATGAGTTGATATGCATGGTGAATTAAACCTGCAGTTCTCAACAATAACCAGGGGCCCACTATAGTTGGGCTCAGCAAACCACTCTTAAACCAATGTGTGTCATGGTGAAATTAAATAATTCACTAATCGAGTGTCCAAAATGACAGATTTGCTCTTCATTATGTTTTTGATAATTTTACAGTAGAAGCACCTTTCATACATGGAAGTATGATAGTATAACAGGCTAATTATGGGTCATCCTACAGAAGCATCTATGGCAATATGTCTTAAATGTATTTGGGTAATTCTTCAACTACACCCACTTTTATGTCCTTTGACCATATATCCAAAAATATATATAATTTTGTTCAAATTCTTTTTTCTTTTTCAAACTAACAATAAAACCTACTTTAAAAAAATACTGTCTTTAAAATTTAAAACTTTAAAATTACTATATATATATATATATATATATATATATATATATATATATATATATATATATATATATATATATATATATATATATATATATATATATATATATATATATTTTTTTTTTTTTTTTTTTTTTTTTTTTCATATTATTCAACCTCTTTTTAGGTGTCAAAATCACTGTTTTCACCTTGTCGCACACCCAGAGTTTTAAACTTCAACAATGAAAATAACATTTTAAAATATTATTTATCTGGTATCTATTAATGTATCTTAATTAAGCACTAGTGAAATAATTTAAACATTTGGTAGTTATTAATGTGAGACTATTATCGATATTATTTTTTATAGCTGTCTCACAGTATCAGTGTGATTTCCATCACAACACTGTAATGTCGCTTTAAAAGGTTTGTGTGTAAGATTATTTGGGTGGTTTCAATGAAAATGAGTAGTGTCATCTGAGAACATGTTCAAGATGGAGGGAATTTCAATTTTCATCAGCGACACTTGAAGAAAAGTCAAGGTAAATATTGCTTGATAAGGAAATACATTTATTCTACGTCATTTCCAAACATGTTGTACCTTCAAATATCTTTTTAAAAACCAAACAAAATTAAGGTAAACAAGAGTGTTTTGTAGACATGAAAGGCTAGTATCTATTCAAAGCTAATCGCTAAAGCTATTTTTCATTTTTCACAATAAACTGTTGAAATGTCATTTCCACCACTGTCATTTCCACCACCACACACATTTTTAAAAAAGATTCAAAAAGTTATCATCACACATTAAAAGTGTATTCACAATGTATAAGTTCATGCTTTATTTAATATACAAATTCAGTTTATTTTCTTTCTAATAAGCTCTTAACCAAATTAAAATAAAACTTAATTTTTAGTGTAACAGGTGTACAATTCAGCATACCACTAATTTATTTCATTGACAAATGTATCATTATCATATACATTATGGAAAGATTGGTTAAACTAGATACAAAAATGATCTTGAACAATGTTTGACTGCCATAATTAATTTCATTTTGAAATAAGCTGTATATTGAGATGTGGTGGAATTGACATTTGTTCAGTTCACGATGGAAAAAATGTTCTTATCTAAGTTTGTCCTCTTACAGATCCTAAAACTAGACAAATTGTTTAAACTTTTGAGGCTATGTTACGTTAATTTTGAACAAGTTTTTTTTACTCAACTTCACAAAGCTAAAAGTGCCCATATTGAAGAATGGCCCATTTATTATTGTAATATTGAAAGTTACATTACATTATGATGATGCATTTTACTGATGCTGCAATGTATCTAAACACATGTTGTCAATTATGGTATACTCATCAAATTACTTTAATCCATTTGTGTTCATTTTTTAACATGCTAGTGACTAATAGTTTTTCTAAACATTTCTGATAACCGAAAAGACAGTGGAAAGTTCCAAATAATCTCTTACTATATTTCTCAGTGAGAGTTTGGTTTAGGATTGGATAGTTGGTAAGGATAAAAAGAAATAGGTTAGACCATACCTTACCATAGAACTTTGTTGATGGATGCTGCACATGAAGTAAATGTCCACTCTAAAAGCAAATTAATAAAAATACATTTCATGAAACATAAATCCAGTCAAAATAATGATAAACAAAGGCCTTATCCCTGATGGGAATAAGGGTCTTAAATAACTCACAATGCATGCATGCTTATGAATATGACATGTCTTATGTTATGCTATCTTAAAATGTGGTTCCTTTGGTTATTATAGCTACATATTATGCATTGATTACTAACTGTTTTTAACATCTTGACTTGTTTTGCAAATAGAAAAGTTCTGCTTTCACTGTAGCTATTGTGTAAGCCTGAGTAACACCATCTGTTAGGGAACTACTTCCTCAGTTTTTCAATTAAAGGACATTTCTGTCAGTTTCTGAAGAATGTAAGTTTCACCTGTTCTACTGATGTTAATCCCAATCAGGCACCTCATCATAGCAGAATATTTTGGTTTGATTTGTATCTAACATGTCATTAAATCATATTCTTTTCACAATACATTGTAAAATAAACATTCACTGTTATTCAAGTGTAATATTTCTGTTATAAGGACAGAAAAAAATATATTTCCATATAATGTCAGAACAAACGAAAAATGGTCAATAACAGGCTATATACTTTCAAGGCTTTGGAAATAATAGTTTATTTTAAATATTGGAGATCTCCCTCTACGTTGTATTGTAATGTTGGTGGTTTTGATAGGCCTATATTTGTTTTGTTTAGGTGAAGGCAACGTTCAGCAAAAACATTTACAGTAAAAAAATATGGTAGGCTATGGTAAAGTATGACGGCACGATTCTGAACGTGGGTGCGCGAGTCTGAAGGAGCGCGTTCACGATTCGGCTTTTTGAGAGACGTCACCTAGTAACGCTTGGGGGCGCGCAAAACATTCAACAGATGAGTCGGCTGTTCTCCGCATCATTTCGACAACGACGACGATTAGCATTAAATAGTGTGTACGTGTACCCACTGTTTCAATAAGGTAAAGCCCGTCATTACTTTACTTATGTAGTGTACACGTTTGTCAGTTTTCTTTTATTAATTTCATGACAATAAAACATTTGGGAATAAATAGCCTAGATTTGGAAGCCATATGAAGCTTAAGTAACTTTTTATTTTAATAACATTTTCTTTTAACATTTTCTTTAATAACATTTATTAGGAACAATAAAATATCTTAATAAAATTGTCTGCTTGTAAACAACATTCTTAAGCTCTACAGTTCACTGGGTGCGTTATATTCTTAAGTTACTGTTTTAGATCCATAAGCTGCAATGCTCTTTGCTTTTCATCTGCCATCAAGAACACTCAAAATGCTATTTATTGTCTGCTCCAGATATTTCAGATGAAGTTTGGTTGGTCATGCCAGGTGGAGTCTTTCAGCGCTGAGCAGTTCAGGACTTCATGCATGGATGCCTTTTCTTTCTTCTCAGCATGTAGTGTGTGGTGTCAGGCTGTTCGCTGTTGAAAACCCCGGAGAATCAGATGCTGCACTTCAGGTTACACTGACTGAACTTAACTGCCCCATGATGTCACAGCATCATTATATTTCATGGCATAAACAAAGACCAAATGACTTATTAATGTCAAATTAAGCTCACAATAGCAGTGAATGGGCTGTGGTTGTTCCAGATTAATAGTTTTAATTTCTAAGGTATTTAAAAATTAATTTAAAGAGAAAACACTTCTGTTTATTAAGCCTAACATATGAAATAATTTATTAAACCTTTAGAAAAACTTATCTTTATAACAAAACTAGGTTTTCATATGCACATACTGTATACAAATACAAATATAAGTTCCTGAAAAGCCTGATGATAAGAAAAATGTACGTTGTCAAATACTTTTATATAGAAACCGGTTAATTTAAACCAGAGGTGCTCAACCCTGTTCCTGGAGATCTACCTTCCTTCAGAGTTCAGCTCCAGCCCTGATGATGTTTGATATGGGTTGCAAATGAAATATGGGTTTGATATGGACTGCAACTGCAGGAAGGTAGATCTCCAGGAATAGGGTTGGTCACCCCTGATTTAAACTAAAGCATTATTACTATTTTGAGTATATTTTTAAACAAATAAATACAACGATTTCTTTAAAACATGTTAAAAATATTTGAGATTAAGAGACCACTTTTAAACTTGTGATTTATAGTCGTTTGAATACAATGTTGTTGTTTTTTTAATAAAATGTCTTTTTTCATAAAATAACAGAATTTCAGACGTGTTTGTGATCATTTTTAGATAACACAGTATCAACTTCAGAAGAATTAAGAAATTAAATTTATTTTAATTAAATCAATGTTAAGTATAACTTTCATATAATATAAAAATTTCACAGCAAAAAGACATACACAACTAAAAGCTTTTACGTTAATAATAAAAGTTTTAAAAAGTATACCAATGGTTTATATGGTTAAACCAAAATAATTTTTATTCATTAAGTACAGAAATTAACAGTTTTATTGTTATGTTCTGCATGAGAACATCATAATATGAGAACATCAAACTGTCATGGTGTATATCTAATTGTATGCATATGTCAGTGTTATTGCTCCTGTGCCTGCAGTGTCTTCAAACAGCGTTCATCGGTAAACGTGTTACACAGGAATTTAATTTAAAAAGACCTTGAAGATCTGATCAACCAGTACAATGATGAATTCAAAGCCTATATGTGACAG